CCATTGCCCGGCCCATCCTATTTAGAGCCCTTGCCCTCTCCCGAGACTCACCTTTTCGGCATTTGGAGCAGCTGAGGCATTGTTTGAGGTAGTTCTCAGAAGCAGTATAGGTGCCGTTTGCACACACCCTGCAGTCTGTGTCCTGCCCTGGGGCTGGACAGTGATTGTGCCGGTAGGTCCCTGTGATTGGGGTGTCTGGATTAGGCTGCAGCTGAGAGCTCAAGGAATGAGCCCCATGCTAGGGAGAACAGCCTGGGTCACCTCTCCAAAGTTTTTAGGAGAAGAAAGGAGAAAGAAAATCTCAGCCCAAGACAAGCAGCTAAGTTAGGAGACTTGGGGACAGAGACCCCAGGTTCTAGAACATCTGGAAAAAGCGAAGAAAGTAGCTGGGCTCCATCACCGAGGAGATTCACTGTTAGCACTGCCTCTTACCTTTATGGCACTTCGTACAGCAAATGGACCTATTATCAGGGTGGTTGTATTTTCCTTGGGGACACAGGCTGTCTCTCTTCTCCCTGTCCCTGAATCGAGGGACCAGTCCAGTAACCCCTGAGGGGTATATTTCCACCAAAAGAGCCAGGAGCACCTGGGGAGGAATCAGTAGAGGAGATCCCATCAGGATCCAAGCTTGGACAGTTGGCACTGTGCAATCTAGTGCTTAATTGTTCTCTAGTTGTACTAATGTGTACTAATGTCTTGTGTCCCTTCAACTCAAGGCTGGGAGACCCTGGGCCCAGTTGGATTTTATCTTTATTTCGTCATAGCACCTAATAGTGTTGGACACAGGGCAGATGTGCAAGGAATTTTCATTTGTTTGTTACCTTAGTTCTGGACCTTCCTTCCCAACAAGCAGTCCCAAAGACTGAGGTGGCGTTTCTCCATCTGAGTGCTGCGTTACCACAAAGTGAATTTTTGCTGAGGTGGCCAATGGGATCGTGCACTTTCTTGTATTCTTATACCATTAAAAATTTCTTTATAGCCCAGCCAGTCTGGCTCAGTTGGTTGGGCATTGTCCTATGCACTAAAGGGTCGCCAGTTCGATTCCTGGTCAGGGCACATGCCCTAGGTTTCGAGCTCGATCCCCAGTAGGAGTTGTGCAGGAAGCACCCAATTGATGTTTCTATCTCTCCTTCTCCCTTCCTCTGTCTAAAAAAATTAATAAAAACATTTTAAAAAAATTTTTTTATAAAATCAGATTGGAGTGGAAGTGCCTGTGGGCACTGTTCCTGGTCAGTGTGCAGAAGCAAAAAGTTGATTTATAAATTTTTATCAAGACCTCACTCAGGATCCCATCTTCAGACTCCATGCTGTATCCCCTTCCGCCAATAGACGGGAGTGAAAGGGAAAGTTCATGGTCAAGGATGGCATAGGTGGGTGACAAAGTTTTGGTGGAGACAGGAGTGGGCAAAAGCATGTAGGTTACATGCAACTGGAGCTGGCCTGAGGCCGGTGATCCAGCTCAAGTAACCACCAAGTCAGGAGCTGAGGGTGTGCCAGGAAGTCCTGAAGCTCTTTGCACACTGAGGCATTCTGGAACACCTGTTTTATGGCCTCAGGCTAAGCCCACAGCAGCTGAATCACTGGACCATTTCTGGCTTATATGCCTGGACAGGAAAACCAGGAGTTGGTGTTAAGCTCCAACCCAGACTTTGTTCTTTGTTCAGCTTCTTGCTGGCCTTTCCCTAGGCCTTGATTTTTTTTTTCTCTGCAGTTAAGAGCCGCTTTATGTAAAGATAAGAGGATGTCCTCAAAGTATGTTAAACAATGGGGAGCAACAGGCTAATCAGATCACGGAAACCCCAGTCCCAACAGGAGGGCCTAGCAGCCAGAGCCTCAATGGCTCCGCGTCTCAACAGGCAGGTAGGCAGTTCACACACCTCAGTCACCCACTGGGAGACATTGCAGCAACCCCAAAGCCCAGGCCTCAGGCACAAACAGGGGAAGACACTTTCAGAAACACAGCATCATGCCCCCCTACTCTGAGGGCAGCGGCCTTCCCTGGCCCACTCTAGGCACTGTGCCACCTCCCCTGAGAACAGGACTGGGTCTTCCAGGGCAACAGGAAGAGTGTGAGAAGTTAATGAGAACTTCCCGTTCCTGAAAGAAGAGTTTTCCCCGAAGAAGAGCTCACAGCACCTAAGGTCATGGGCACTTGGCATTCCATCCAGGGAGGCTGGGAGCAAAGCCAACCAGCAAAGACAGAGTCAGGAAGAACTGGGGAGCTCCAGTTCTGGAACAGACTTTGGGGGTAGTTTTTCAGGGATCTCTGGCTCCTGAGGAATAAACTTCCCAGGAAGGCAGGAGGGGGAGAGGTCACGTGTCCCCTCATTCTACAGCACTTCGGGGGTTAAATTAGATCCGGGAAAAGGAAATCTTTTCCCAGAAGCTCCGCCCAGTGACTCAGGCCAGAGGGAGGGAGAGGATCTGGGGGAGGGCAGAGGGAACCAGAAGCTTCCCCAGCTCTTCAGGGGTCATGAGTCAGCATAAAGATTAAGGGACCAGCCAGCAGTTAGTTTCATCTAATCCCTTCCTCCTATGGTCCAGCCTCACTTCAATCTCCCCATGCGGCCCCCTTTCCTCCCCTCCTTCTCAAAAGAGCCAGGCAATGGACCCCTGTCCCACTGGGCCCCCATATTCGGGAAATGGCTCTCTCTGCCATTCCATCCCAAAGGGAAGTCTCCCTCCACCCCTGGCTTCCTCCCATCAAGTCACTACCTAACCCTCCCTGAGGGGGCCACTCAATTCCTTCCCGCCCCTCAGCAGCCTTCCTTTAGACTAGGACCCTTCCTGGCTCCTCCTCCCAGTTCAACCAGTCCCCTACAGCTAAACCCCATCCCTGGGCTCTCCCCCAGGCCCCAGTTCCAGAAGGAAGCCAAATAAGGTTGCCCTCCTCCCACCCAGTTCACTGCATTCCCACAGCCCGGCTAGTTCTGGCCAGTTAGGTTGAGTTTGGAGACCTCCCTGGGGTCCCAGACAACAGTTAGGAAATAAGGCCAGTTCTGTCTCCTCAGCCCCTCCCCCAAACCCACTGGCAGCAGAGGAGAGGCTCCAGAGCCCTGAAAACCCGCTTCCAGGAGAGAGGGAGCAGACCAGAAGGGATGTGAGGCGGTCAGTACCATTGCCCAGCTCTCCCATGGCCCCCAGCAGCAGCCATTTGTTAACACTGGTTGACTCCAGTGAACACCATCCTTAGCAGCAAAACAGAAACAGGTGAGCCTGGAGCACCCAGGCCCTAGCTTGAGTGCCTGTCACCTGGAGCAGGGGAAGGGCAGGAAGCCGGGGGTGCCTGTGGAGACACAGTTGAGGGGGTGGCCCAGCACCCCTCCAACTCCCCCACAGCTTCCGCCTGGGGAGGCTTTAAAGTGTGACTTCCTGCCCTGGGGCTGCAGCGTGGGGTAGAAAGCGACCCTGTGGTCTACTCTGACCCAGCCACCTCACTAGACGGCTCAGCTGTTCCCTTCCCCCGTAAAAATTTGTCCATTAAATTGTTCATTTACTGTGAGAATCGTTGAGGAGCTCATGATAGCTTCTCCAAAAGCCCAGTTGCAATCCCGCCTCCTTGCCCTGAAGCCCTCCATTAATGACATTTCCCATACCCATGCTCATTAGATGCTCATCCCCCTGTGAACTTTAATAGCATGAATTAACTTTATGTATCCTTGGCGCTTATCACAGTATAATTATCTTGGGTGAGTAGATATGATCTCCCCCAATAGACCATAAACTCTCTAAGAGATCAGAGAGAGTATCTTGGTTAGAGTTAGTGGCCTATCTTCCTGGGTATCTTTTCAGCACCCAGAACTAGGGGAGCAAAATAAACATGGTTGATCTGATAGATGATCTGTCCCACTCCAGGTGAAACCAATGATTTCCAGAGGGAAGTAGGGAGTCAGTGCCCCACCACCACCACCACCCTTAGCGAATATATTTATCTCCAGGGACAGTTCTCAAAGTACCTGCCTCCATCCCACACATGTACACCCTCACTGGAGATTGTGATTAGTGTTCCTTTCCTCTCCTTTGAGAGTCACTGGTGAGTAAAAGCAGCACCTATGAATGATACAAAGGCTGATAAGAGTTTGAGAACCTCTGCTCTGGCCTATTAAGACACGTACTTCACTTGGCTATTCCCCAGACCCTTAACATGCCCCAAATTAAATTCACCAATCTCCTGGCCTAAAGAAATGCCCCACCACCCACTTCTCAGCACCAATGCTGAGACCTCTGCCATCTTTGTCTCCTCAGGGCCTTCCCCATCCTTGCTGCCATCCAGTCTGTCATTCCTCTTGCCAGTCCCCCCTCTGTAATCTCTGGGTCTTCTCCATGTCCTTGGTTGCCTCACACCTGGATTATTGCAACTGTCTTCTAGCCGACTGCCCAGCCCCTTTCCTGCTCCAACCCATCCCACAGACTTTCTTATCTGCATTCACGCTTCAACTTGCACACACATGTGTAGGAATCTTCCTCTGCAGGGCCTGGCCTCGTAATCATTTACACAGGTCACTGCTCTCCTGAGAATAGCAGAGGTACCTCACTGCTATTCTGAACACATTCGTGGACAGTGGGCCCTCAGAGTGCCCTTTATGAATGAATGAACAAATGAATGAATTCCTGTACCTGGGACCACGGTTCAAGATTCTCTCTTCAGCCCCTCCCATACTCCCTCCAATTATCTCATTCTCATTTCTTTCTTTTTTTAATTTTTAATTATTTTTTAAATTTTATTATTGATTTTAGAGCGAAAGGAAGGGAGAAGGAGAGAAAAAGGGAAACATCGATTGACTGCCTCCTGCACACCCCCTACTGGGGATAGAGCCTGCAACCCCTGCATGTGCCCTGACTGGGAATCAAACCAGCACCTCTCGATGCATGGGACAACGCTCAACCAACTGAGCCACACCAGCCAGGGCTCATTCTCATTTCTTGTCCCCTAACATGGTCTTTTCACTCCAGCCAAGGTGTTTGGCTTCCTGCCATCACCACTCCCCAACACAAAAACCCTTCTCTCCCTTCCTCTAATTTTCCTCAATCAATCTCCTTTCTTTCTAGCCACCCTGCCAACCAGTTCAAATCTCAGCTCCAAATCCACTTTTTTAATCCTCACCTGAGATATGTTCATTGATTTTTAGAGAAAGGAAGAGAGAGAGAGAGAGAAACATTCATGCGAGAAACATCCATCGGTTGCTTCCTGTCCGCACCCTGATCAGGAATTGAACCTCAGCCTAGGTATGTGTCCTGGCCAGGAATCAAACCCTCAACCTTTTGGTGTACAAGATGACACTCCACCCAGCTGAGCCACCTGGCCAGGACAAATCCACTTTTCTATGGTGTTTTCCCTCCCTCATCCCATCTGACCAATCTTTTGTTCCTTTACTCATTCAACAAATAGTTAAGGAGCAATCATTCTATGCACCAGGATCCTGGCTAGTGTGGCTCAGTTGGTTGAGTATCATTCTGTCCCGTGCACCGAAAGTTCCCCGGTTCGATTCCCAGTCAGGGCACATACCCAGGTTGTGGGTTCGATCCTTGGTCAGAGGCAAACCATCAATGTTTCACTCTCACATTGATGTTTCTCTCTCTCCCTCTCCCTTCCTCTCTTTCCAAAAACATCAATAAAAACATTTTTTTTAAAATCTATGTGCCAGGTCCCACCTGGCTACCAGGGAGGCAGAGATGAAATAACACAGCTCATGCTCACAAGAGTTCTCCATGGGTTGCAGGCAGTCAATTGTAGGCTCTGCGATCTGTGCAACGTGTGCTCCGGAAGCACGGACACTAGAGTTGAGATCTGCTACCCAAGAAAAGGCAGCTGGGCAATGCTCCTTGTCCTCCCTGGCTCTGCCTCCCGTTGGTGTTCCAGGGCACCACATCACGACGCTTTTATGAAGATTTTCTTCCAAACTGTTCTGAAATCGTTTTTTGCCGAAAGCTGTCTTGGCTCCTAGACTGTAAGCTTTTTGGGGAGTAGCAAAGTCCTGTTTGCTTGTCACACTGTCTCCTGTATTCTTCACACTACCCTCACCCCACCCCCACCCGCACCCCTGCGCACACACTGTGTGCTCTGAATTGTCCACTGGATGCTGAGCAGCTGGAAAGTTCACGGACAGCCTTACCCAGACCTTGCACACCTGCTGTTATCCCTCCAGCTCCAGGCTGAGCTTGTGTCCCTTAACAGTCACACTCTCCTATGGGCTGGATCAGCCCCAGCCCCAGGCACTTTCCTTTAACTCTCAGGCTACTGTACCCTGTTTTCCAAATACAGTCACCACCAAGTAGTTACTACTATACTACACTACGAACAATATAAAAACTAACATTTATTGAGTGCTTTCTGTTTGCTATAACCTATTCCTCTACTAGAATGAGGAAGAGATTTTGTGTACACCCTAATCCCAGCACCTAAAACAGTGCGTACCACTTAATAAATTGAATGCTTAATATATACTAATCTATTTAATCTTCAGAACAACATTTTGAGGTAGTGACTCTTACGTTCATCTTAGAGATAAGGAAACTACGGCATGGAGGGGTTACATAACCTGCTCAAGTTCAGGCAACTAGTATGTGAGGGAGCCAGAATTGAATCCAGGTATTTACTCCCAAAGAGAGAAGAGAAGGAAGATAGCAGGGCAGCTGGATGGGGTGGCCTGGGAGGACAGCCTTGAGAGAAGGGAAGAGATGGGGCTGGGGAAACAGGAGGTGGGAGAACCAGAAGATTAGTGAGACCAGGGTAGAGAGGTTGCATGGGGAACTAAGGTCTAGAAATATGGAGAAGAGAGGGAAAGGGAGGGAACTCGAGAGAAAGGGTTTCAAAAAGGAGACTTTGAGAAGTCTGAGGAGATTTCTGGAAGACTAACAGGAAAGGAAGGAATGATCGGGAGAGAAAGTATATAACACCCTGAGGAAGGAGAGGAAGGAGCCACAGGTGGGTCAGGGACTCAGAAGAAACTGGCTAACACAGCCGGGAAATCTGCCCAGCCAGATGGGGATTGGGCTCCGGACATCTGCACAGGGTGACTCGGGACACAGAGAGTGATCAGGGATACCTTGACATAAGACTGAGGCAAGAGAAAGGGACATTTTCCAGTGACGAAAACAACTTTCTTCCAACTTCCTCAAACTGACTATAGAAGAAGAAACCAAGGGATTGTTGTTCAGGGCTGTGGGGAGGGGCTGGAGGGCAGGCGGAGGGGCCGTGTCCCTGTGGAGCTGGTGCTAGCTACCTAGAGAGGGGCAGTCCAGCAGAGGCCACCTGCCTGGAAACTGAGGCAGAGCAGAGGTTGAAGAATGTTCCCATTGATACTAGATTTACCAATATAACTGGCATCTCAAAAACAAAAACACACACAAAAAATAATGCCCCCAAGAGGGAGGCCTGGGCCTGGGAAGAGCACTGGAAATGCTCTCCACGGGCTGGCCCAGCCCCTATTCACTTCCCACTCCATTCCTAAATCGCTCCCACCACATGGCATCCCAAACTTACCCCACCAACCTACCCCCTCTCCCAGACTCAGTTTCCCCACTTCATTGTCATCCAACTCCTGCCCTCTAGCAGTGTTTGCTCAACCAGGGCTCACTGGCAGCCTCACCTCTCCACAACCCAACGCTCTCCTGGGCCAGCCAGCTGACCAGACGGCCAGAGTTGAGTCATCTGGAATCTCAGAGGACTGACTTCTCCAACTCCTTTCCTTTTCCTACCAAATCCGCCCCGCCCTCAGCGATCGCCAGTCCCAACATTTTCAGACACCCCCTAACCCCAGCAAACTTCCTTGGCTGTCAGGAGCCAGAGCTCCTTTTTACTCCCCACCTTTCAAGCGTCTCCCCGGCCCCTGATTCAGGGAAGCCTGGGCTTCTGGCAGAGTCTGAGGTCAGGCCTTGGCCAGGCCCTCTCCTGGCGAGGGCCCATTCCCACCCACCGGAAGTACCCTGCGCCCACCAGCCCACTCGGCCCTTCATCCCTGGTCTCACCAGTGGCAGCAGCAGGCCAGGCACGGTGGGGAGGCCCATGTCCGGCCAGCTGAGGCCTCTCACTCCCCCATCAGGGCTCAGGCAGTGGTGGCAGTGGTGGCCACAGGCGAAGTGGCAGCGACTGAGTCCCGGGATGAGCAGGTCAGGAGGTCCCCAGTGGAGCCCAGGCCTTAAGTAGGGGAGTTAAGGCTTGAGCCTGAGATGAAGATCTTGCCCTGGTCCCAGGGGTCTCAAACCCCGAAGGCCAGAACCGGACTATGAGAAAATTAAAGCAAAGAGGTGGGAGAGGAAGGGAGAGAGGCAGAGAGGGTGTTGCAACAGCACAGCACGACAGGAAGAACTTGGGGGAGGAGGCTGGAGGAGGCGGGAAGAGGCGGGAGGAGGGGGCAAAGGTTTTTTTTTTTTAACCTTTTGTGGCCCAGTCAAAGGCGCTAGAGTCCTGAATCCACCAATCAGACCACTCCCAACCAAACACCAACGTGCAGTAAGCCCCCTCCCTCCTCACCCCCATCACCTGGCTTCTCCCAAACAAACAGCAATAGAAAGACCCAGGGCTTTGGGCTCAAATTCCCTGGGGTACAGTTCAGAATCTTCTGCTTTTTAGCTAGGTGGTCTTGGACAAACAATCTAAACTCTCTGAGCCTGTTTTCCAACTTGCCAAATGATGAGAACCTATCTCATGTGGTTGTTGTGAGAATTTATTGAAACAGGACAGATAAATGTCATACATGACAAGCACTCAAGTGTTCCTTAGCAACTCTTCCCTTTTCCCCACAGTTCTCCACTGACATCCTAATCTCCCACTTTCTTGGAAATTTGCTGCTTCAACCCAAACCTCAGAGTAAATCCTAACCCTAGTTTTCTGCCCTGGCTTGGGGCCCTCCCCCTCCCCCCAGTCTGGTTCCTATGCAGTCCGTGCTTGGCTGGGTCCCACAGCTACTGATCCTGGCTCTGCCACCAAACAATGGTGGGACCTCAGGCAGGACCTCCACTGAGTCTCGGCTCCTCATCAGTAACTGAGAGGAACAATGTCCGTCCCACCAACACGGGAAAGTGATGTCATAAGGATTAATGAGATCCTATCTGTGAAAATGCTTTGGGCATTCCAGATATCTTGATTGGATGTTACTAGTATGGTTCCAGTGGCTTTTTTCCAAATATTATTCTGTATTTCAATGCAAACTGACCTGAGAGACAATCTACTGCACCCTCTTCTTTTATGGATGAGAAAACTGAGGGCCGGAGACACACACAGGGCATGTTCCCAGCAGATACCAGATTCCTGACTTCAATCCAGGGGCCCATTTTGCTACAATAGACACATAGCCACTTGTCTATCTGTGCCTTTGATTCAGACCCACTCCGTGACTCTGGGTATTGTATGCCATCCCCGTTTGGGCAGGACATCTCCCAAATGAATCACACAGGGTACAACGTTCACTCAAATACCCTTTGGGCATAATATCCAGCCCAGGCCTGCTGTCCTCCAGCGGCTGAGGTTGATAGAAATGCAGGAAGACCAGAGAGGAGTGAGGTCCAAGGGCTTTGTGACTTGGAATCAGAGCTCCTGGCTCCTTCTCCCCTTGATCCAGCAGCTTAACCCCCTGCCCCAGAGTCCACCCTGCCTGGCTTTTCCTGGCCTCCACTCTCTAATCCTAAGGGCAGAGCATCTATAGATGAGAATGGAGCTTGGATGTCCCCACCTTGAAATGACTTCACTCTACCCCATCCTCCAGCCTCTGAAGAACTGGAGAGCTGAAACTGGATTCACAGAGGAGCTCACCTCTACCAACACACAGAGAGCCTCGGAGTACAGTACAGAGTACCCAAAGCAGAGCTCTCAAAGAAGCAGAATCATTGGAATAAAGCACGAGAGTCAGAATGTCGTTTCCAGTGTGAAGAA